ATTGAAATTGAAGTAAAACTTAAATTTTTTTATGAATTTTGTAAAATGAACGAAAATGAATTGGGTGTTAACCAAAAATTGTGTTGTAGGAATGAATTATGAACATTCTGTTCGATTACTAGAAGTCGAATATTTTCCATAGAGAAATTAATACGTAGTACCACTAAAAGTATCTAACTAAAAACATTCGAAGATATAAGAGCAAACCAAAATGCCAAAAAGAACATATAAAAGTCTCTTGTAGAGCTTTTTAAGTGTGGTTGGAAAGAAATTTATTAAACGCATCAAAAATGTCGATTCGTAGAAACTCTTTTTTTTTTTTTTGGGTTCTTATGGTCCTCACATGGCACATGTATGAATTGAAGAGGGGAAATTTTCAAAAATGCCTGCACTTATTATTACTAGCTACATTCATATTTTATACTCAACAAAATTGAAGAGGATGAAGCTGAAGGCTATATACGCCTATATATATACCATTTAGGTTTTGGGGTGGGGGGCAGCCAAACTGGCTAAGCAGGCATATCCGAATATCAATCCCTCCCCCTACCCCTACCCCTACCCCTACCCCTACACCCAAGCAAATTGAATTCATCTCTTAATTAAGACATTTGTAGGCCTTCATTTAGACTTGGGACAATTGCCCTCTTGCTAGCCATATCCCTATTCCTATCTTTCTAGCATTTTCAAATCCAACATATCGTATTGAATATGTGGCAAATGCCCATTGGCTAGACATCAGCTTCTTAACCTTTTATGCCGATAAGAGGCTGCCATAGTAGTGTTAATTTACTGTAATCACTAATCAGGTTACTGTACAAATGAAGAAAGACCTTCGTAAAATACATGGCCGTTGTTTTCTTAATTTACTGAGTAGGGGTGTATTCATTGATGGGTTTGAGTCGAGTAGTAGGTTACTTGAACTTGAAATCTGGCTTGAACTTAGTTGAATTTTGCTTTTGAAGTTCGAAATAGACAAGTAGCTCGAATCCAAATCAAATTAGTTTTTATTAATTTATATATACTAACTATTCGAGTAGCTCGATAAGTATGTACCCGAATCAAGTACTAAATAAGTTCAGATTAGCTAAATTCACCACTCAATTCAATAAGCTCAACAGTTAACAAACCAACTTTGTGTTTTTCTCGAATCCGAGTCCAAATAACCATAAGGATTAAGGATACTAGTGCATATTGCCTCACCTCCATCCATTTTTATTTCTCTTTCGTTTTCTAAAATTCTCAAATTATTCGTCATTTTATCATCAATATAAATAAGGATATAATTATATGATACACTAACAGTGTAAATTTCGGATTCCACAAGCGGAGTGAGGTGTTGACACATACTCATTTTTTGAATTAATTTTGATTTTGAAATTCAAAACTATTGCCTAAAGGACACATATCAACTCTTAAACCGCGTATATGTAATCTGCTAAACTCTAGTAACAGTGTATTGTATAATTTTCATGTAAATAAGTAGATTATCATCGATACTTAAAATTCTGTTATCATGTCAAGCTTAGGCTTAGTTTATCACTTTTATTATTAAGGATCATCTCAGGAGTAAAATTAAGAGGTGGTTCACGGTCGCCGTCGTCATCAACGTTAGTCTTAATGATATTTGTCTGGCTGCACTCGCTTTCCTTTCCACGATTGACTGGCGAAGCAAAACATCCAACCAGCCAAGGGAATTTATTATTTTATGTGAGCCTACCAAAATTATAGAAAGCCACTTGGCAGTTGGCATAAAAACGTCCACGTGTCTTTTATTGGAGGCGTGTGGTGGCGATGTGTCACATTTTGATTGCATACACGAAAACAAAAAACATTCAAAAAGACGAAGTTGACCCCTCTGAGCTGTCCCCGCCTTGTTTTCTTTCTCTATTTCGTCACTTTCCGGCCAGTTCACCCTCCCCAAGCCAAAGTCTTTCCAACACTTGCTTCGTCATCATTTGGATTTAGTAATAGCATGCAATTTATAGAATGTTCTCTTGCATTACTATCAACATAAAAATTGCATTTGATATAAAAGGATAAAAACCCAATTTAGGGCTACAACTTTCATAAAATACTCAATTTGTAACGAGAAGAAATAAGTGGTTTGGAGTCAAATTCCCCCCTTAGTTAATATGATATGATTAGAGGTTGGTGAATTTTACAAGAACATCTCGTTTTTTTAGATAGATAGACTCATTTTCCTACCTCTTATATATACTAAGAAAAAAATAAGTTGATTTAATTTTGATGAGAATTTGGGTCAATCATGTCCGCCATGCCTAATAGTTTTGGAGTAGTCACCACTTGATATTTTACCACTATTGGAGCAGGATGAATGATAAGTTTCTTTATTAGAGTTTAATTGATATTGTCAACATCTTATGTATAAAAAATGTCAAATAGGAGTATTATTTAATAGTACAATGGGTCAATCATGTCCGCCATGCCTAATAGTTTTGGAGTAGTCACCACTTGATATTTTACCATTATTGGAGCAGGATGAATGATAAATTTCTTTATTAGAATTTAGTTGATGCTGTCGACATCTTATGTATAAAAAAATGTGGAGTATTATTTAATAGTACAATATTACTTGAATTAATTTATATACTCTATATCAACAATCATTAATTAATCGACAGGCAATGATGTATCTTACCACAGTAAGACTCATTTTATACTAAAACCTTACCAATAATATTGAGCTTAATTTAATTACAAAATCCATGCATGATTTAACATTTTCTTATAGAATGACTATGAAAATCATATACAGTTTTAGTTCTGACAATCTAACGTATAAAGAAAGGAAGCATATAATATACATTGAAATGAAATTATGAAAACATAATATCATTAACATTCACCCCATTTCAACAATGTCGGAGAGAAAATAACAAAAGGAATCGCAAAATTTGTATGATAAATTTGTCAAACCAATCTACTTTGTTAAACGAAGAGTCAATCAAGTCGTTTTCAATTTTCCTATCTTTTGGTGAAATGATTTTTAATAGTATATGGTATATTAATTTTACTAATAATATACTTCAAAATAAATCAAACAATATATAATATGTATGATTTAACATCACTTGATAATTATTAGATTAGAACGTGTGGGGAAATTATGTTAAATAAATTGAAAAGCTATAAATTTGTTGGTTATGAGCATTTTCATTTTACATGTCAAAGTCTTGTTCTGGGTCTCATTGGCATCGCGGATTTCAAAAGTTTGATGGGATCATCTCACCTAACTTAGTTATCATTTTTCATTTTCACCAATCCCCCAGCCTTTCTAGTTGACACAGAAAGACTCCAATTTCTATTCATCTTCTTTTTAATTGATTTTATTTAAGGTCCCATCTTTAAACAACACATGAAAAAAACCTGTTGATGGCACTGGCTTTTTGCAATCATCAATTCTCAAAACCGTGTTTCAAAAAGTTTGGAAATCAATAATTTTCTTGAATGGGTTGCCCTTTTTTTTCCCTCTGAAAAAGTAATTAAACTTACAAGCAAACAAACAATGATAGTAGTAAATAAGATTTAAAAATTATATATACAAAAGAGTAAAATCTAATGTGAACCATATATATATAGCTTAATTAAGCTACCATTTCAATGATCTCAATCTTATGTTAGGACTTGGTTCTATAAAGTTAAAGTTGCAAGAGATTAAAAGTTCAGGATTTTAGAAATTTATGAAGAATGTCTGAAACTCCATTGGTCGATAAAAAAAACTTATGTCATGAGTTAAGATTTAAAATTTTCAAATGGCTATAATAGAAGAGGGGAAAGCAGAGTTAGGGTTCCCCTTACCTACCGGCCGATGAGTTTAGGTGCTCTTGACCATTTACTCAAAGGGATCGAAATCTAGATAATGGAAGTTTTTTTTTTTCATTCTATTATTATAATTTACATTCCTCTTTTTTTAATCTATTGTAATCTATAGACTCATAATTTCATTTGCATGAGTGAAAATTAAATTATCTATTTAATATTTTTTAAAAAATTAATCTATAGTTAATCTATAGTTTACTTTCAATCCGAAAAAAGAAAAAAAGATGATCTACATTTTATGTGATCTTTGTGGTCTAATTTCTAAAATGAAATGGCCCAAAGGACCCTGGCAGATGCAGCAGCAGCAGGGCCTAGGCCTGAATATAGTTGCACAATGTCAATGAGAACCCAAAACATTTTTTCATAATTAAAACAAACAAAATGGGTCACGGAAGAGAAAGAAATTGACAACGACGGCAAGTAAACCAGACGGCCAACATCAATTGCAAGATTCACCGAACTTTGAATAGTCTAAAATCTTGGCAAAAGTTCGGTTCCTTCACGCCTATTATATGCTGTACATGTGTTTGATCAGGCAGGTAATACATTTTCTTAAAAGGCATTAATTAGCTAATTTTTCTGCTGTGCTTGTTTATGATCATCTTTCTTCTTTTTTTTTTTTGGGTAGAAAAAGGTACTTGATAAATTAAAGATCATCTTTCTTCATGCCAAGATAATGGTAAACTGTTTCTCTTGATCTCTTCAGCCTATAACATTGTAGACTCAATAAAAAGACCTTCAAAATGAAAGTGGATTGACTACAAATATGCATCATCTGCAAATGCTCTAAATTTTTCTGGGATTCAAAGATAAATGAGAAATGAAAAAGAGAGAGAGAGAGAAAGAAAGTAACTTACAACTCAAACGAGGATTAAATCAAAATAATAATCCTCGAAAAGAACTTAAATTGCACACGAATTAATGTCTTCTCATACACAATTTCTTGGATGGACATAGTTCCTAAATAGTAGCATAACTAATAACTCATGCTGGACTATAAACAATGAACCACTTAGGTTGAGGTAAAATTCATGCCTTCTCAACTTTATGATTGACAAGGTAATTTCTTACCTAAAGATAATGATTGGATTTTACAAATGTAAGATACACTAATGCAAACACAAGTATATGTATGTATATATATATCAAGGTACGGTTCAGAGCTTCACCTTCATAGCAACACCATATGGCATATGCCTTATACCTTCACTGAGAAAATCTCCATTAGAGAAGACCATGTTCCTGCAACTCCAAGAACAAGGCCTATGGTCACAATTCCGATATCCAAAGTCCATCCCTTCCACCCCAGCTCTTCCTTGAACACCAGCAAATGAAACAAAGCTGGCAATACAAACCCCAAACCGCAGCACACACTGCTTCCCACCAAGGATAAGAAATCAGCAAAATTTGGCACGAACAAAGCTACCAAACTTACAATCAAAACCAGCAGCCACCTCAGCCAGAGACAATAATTCCCTCCCCAGAATCGCCTCTCTACGATCTCATATACTGGATTCATCATCAATGGGAAGGTGAAAAATAAGTTGATGCAAAGACCTAGCTGAACCAAAGCACTGACCCAGCCTGCCCCCAGATTAGCAGTAATGATGTCTTTTGTATCTTCACCAAATGCAAAATAACCAAGCACACCAAATGCTCCATATATCAAAGAAATAGAACCCATGCTCAGTGCCAATACCCTGCCAAACTTAGAAGTATCTTTCGTCTCAGATTCTATAGGCAAAACCATACCAATACCTTCAAATGCATAAACAGCCACACCCATGCCATAAAGAAACACAGAGAGACCCCCAAAAGCCACAACCTCATGTTTTGCCTTCAGAATAAGTGCCACATCCTCAACAATTACAACCCCCATTGCCCCAAGATCAACCACATCAGCAAAAATACTCAATGGAGCCAAATGGGTTAATGTTGCAATTGAATTTAACCCCAGTTGAAATGGAAAACATCCCCATATATACAAACTTTTTGCTGTAAAACTGGACATCCCCAAACTTAAGCTCAATTTCGTTGATGTTTCACCGTTAAAAAGATTGGCCAAAGTGTTTGCGATGAATATAAGATATCCAACACAAAATCCAGCTTGAGAGAGAATAATAAGAACATCGACAACAAACCTGTCAATGGAATTCATAAAAAACTTAGTGTAAATAGTGGCAATGAGATGATAAAATAGTCAAATTAGGATGCTTCCTTGTAGGAAAAAGATCACACATTAAAATTTAAATCATCAACTCATATAAGAAGCATCTTGTGATAGTATAAGTGTATAACTCTAATCAAGATCAGTAACAAAGCTACTAAAGTGAAAAAGATAATTCAAATAAAACTTATGGCTACCATTTTAGCTTCATTGTTGAAAAAGGAGCCAAGTATGGAGAAATCAGATATCATATCATTACATAATCAAAACCAAGCTGCTTATACAGTAATAGATGAGCTTTAGAAAGAAACCTGACATATTATATACGTCTATATCTACATCCAAGGCCAAATAAATGAGCATTATTTGTGTTTAATAAGTGACAAGCTGAGCCAAATTAGCAGTAATTTTGACAAGATACCCATCACAAAACCCAGGTCAAACAAGAATATTAAGCAGAAAATCTACTGATCCACCAAAGAACATACTCAATCAATAAAAAACAATGATACCCAAACAAAAAAGAATTAAAAAAAAAAATAGTACCTATCTTTAAAACCCCCAACCCAAAGTGAAGAATCTGCATGTTGTTATAGTCTCATAGATTGAAAAATAAATCCAATTTAATTAGCAATTTCCTCTTTTTTGGTCATCAAAAAGACAAAAGAAAAGAAAAGAAAAGTGCGACAATCAAATCCAAATTCCAAATTAAGATAGAATTGAAAACGTAACTAAAACAAGAACAAACCTGCCAACGGAGCCACAAACAGCGAAACCCAGATCGCCAAAAGAGGCAATTTTGGCAAACCCATTATCATAAGACTCGAGCTTCCGTCGGGTATAAACCAAAAGCATCATGCAGTAGGTGGTCAAGGTAGCTACAGAAAAAAGCATGAGCAGGCCCATGATCCATCCCGTTCTCTTGAAAGCGTACGGCAAACCCAGAACACCAGCTCCAACTATGGCGATGAAAACATTTGCAAAGGTCTTGGGCTGTGAAGATAGCGGCTTTTTGTTTCCTATAAGAGGCGTATCTTCTCTTGGTAGGGGAGACTTCAATTTCTTCGATGAGGAAGACGAGATCGGCCTCTTATCAAAAACCATGGCTGATTCTCGCTAAGGAGTTCTCTCACTTTCAGACTCTTCTCTTTCTTTTCTGCAGATGGAAAATTTTATTTGCTTCTTATCTGACCAACAATTATTTAATTAGAAGCAAAATTATAAATTGTAAATTGGGGACGACGTTCAATTATGATTCGAAAGACGAAATCGAAAGCGACAAAGATGCAGTGGGAAATTTTTATTATTTGTTACGTAGTGTGTTATTATCAGGAGATTAAATAAGTAGTTAATTAATGGTGGTTTTCTAATGTCGTGTCGGAGGGGAGGGGAGGCAAGGGAAAAATGAAAAATGAAAAATGAAAACGAAGATTTATTTACAGTTGCAAGAAAACAAGAAAAATATACGCCGTTGTAAATTTGTGAGGCGAAGACGCCGCGTTTCTGGTCAGCGTTTCCGTGAATGGTCAATCCTCATTCCTCAACCTCAATCGCAGCCCACGTGCAAAAAGTGAAGAAAGAAAATGTTAACGAGTCGGGTTCATCAGTTACGGAACCCACCTATGACCTACCCCGTTTAATACTTACTTGGCCCGACCGACAAAGGATTTTTTTTTTTTTTTTTTTGAGAACCCAACAAAACATCCATTAAGATAAAAGACATTACAATCATTGTTTAGAGAATCATGCAACCAAAGAGGCATGTCCTCAATCCATACAATCTTCTCATTAATAGATAAACCATGTTGAGCTAAATGATGAGCAACCATGTTGCCTGATTTACCTATATGCTGCAAGGAACAATTCTGAAATAAAATCTTTAAACTCCTCGCTTCTTCTACATATGCTCCAATAGGCGAAAAATCGGATTCATGTGAATTAATCTTTCGGATGATATTTAGAGCATCCCCTTCAAGGATAATTCTATGAAACCCCATTTCTCTTGCCCAACTCAAAGCACGGACAGCAGCAAAACTTTCAGCAATATAGGCATCTACTACATGTGGAATCATACCTGAACATGCTCCAAGAGGCAGAGCAGAAGAGTTTCTAGCTACAACTCCATAGGCTCCAATCTTCTTAGCAGCAGAGACAGCAGCATCAAAGTTAATCTTTACAATTTCAGAGACCGGGGGAGACCAACGTGGTGGGTCGGGCTTCTGCCGAATAGCAGCCGCTTTTTTGCATCTAGCATACTCTTTGAAGTATGAGTAAGCAAAAAAAGTTGTATCAAAAGGTCTAGTAACCTTATTATCATACAAAGCCATATTTCTTGCCCCCCAAATAGCCCAAGCCGTAAGTAGATTTAAATGAAACCAATCAGAATTTGTCTCCAAATCAATACGAACTCCATCAACAACTTGATTAGCTTCATCATGGACAAAAAAATTAGACACATGATTCCAAACCTCAATGGCAAAAGGACAATGCTGGATAGCATGAATAATTGTCTCATGTTCCTGTTTGCACCGAAAGCACCATCTCTCAACCTCAATGTGCCGAGAGTACAAGTTCTCCATAACAGGAAGAATCTCATAGAACAATCTCCAAGCAAATACCCGAACCTTAGGAGGAACCTCTGCATTGCAAATGCACCTAAGAAAGCGTTTGTCATCCTGGATCGTCTCTAAATCTTCATTTTCTTCATCACCATGGAGGTTACATAGAGTCATGTATCCACTTTTAATAGAATAGAAACCTTTGTTATCAAAATGCCATACAAGGATGTCATGCCGCAGCCTATAACTCAAAGGAATTTGCAGGATAGCTTCAGCATCGGCTTCATTGAAAATAGTTCTTATTAAATCTCTATTCCAGCATGTATCATCCTCCTGCATCAATTCAGCCACTAGCATATCTTCTGGAATTTTGCCATTACCCGAATGTGGAATAAAATCATCCAAATTCGCCACCCATTTGTCTCTCAAAACTCTCACATTTCTTCCATCTCCAATACGCCATCTCAACCCAAATTGTAGCAGCTCACGCCCCTTGAGGATACTACGCCATGTGAAAGAAGGAGTCCAACCAACCTTGGCATCAAGAAATGAAGTCCTGGGGAGTAACAACCTTTGAGAATTCTAGCAAGCAAGCTGGTCGGATTATGAAGCAACCGCCAGCCTTGTTTTGCTAATAAAGCCATATCAAACCACTCCATATTCCGAAACCCCAAACCGCCAAAATCCTTTGCTCTGCATAATTTAGACCAAGCTACCCAATAAATTGGCCGTTTGTCAATTTGTTGCTTCCACCAAAACCGAGCAATCATACCATCAATCTCATTACACAAAGTCTGAGGAAAAGAAAAAACTTGCATAGCATATGTAGGGATCGATTGTAATACAGATTTGATCATTACCTCTCGACCTCCTTGAGATAGCCATCTCATATTCCAGCTCCCTATTTTCTTAGCAATTCGTTCTTTGATCCAATTGAAGGTACTTTTCTTATTTCGCCCCACTAAAGTCGGTAAGCCCAAATATTTCTCAATTATACTCTGCTCCCCAACTCCGAAAAATTCTCTAATTCGGTCCCTATCAGCCTGTAGTGTATTGCTGCTAAAAAACACAACTGACTTATCAAAGTTGATTTTCTGTCCAGAGCATTCTTCATAGATCTTTAAATAATCCCGCACCTTTTCGCTCTCGGCACTGTTAGCTTTTCCAAACAACGGGCTGTCGTCAGCGAAAAAAAGATGACTCACTCTTGGGCCATTTCGACTTACAGAAACTCCACTTAATAAACCATCAGTCTTGCCTTTCGAAAGCAATGCAGAAAGACCTTCAGTACACATTAAAAAGAGATACGGCAACAACGGATCTCCTTGGCGCAACCCACGAGCTGGTTTAAACTCCTCAGTAACATCCCCATTTACCACAACAGAAAATGACACAGATCGAACACATCGCATAATCATCTCAACCCAGCGAGTAGCAAACCCCATACGAAGCATGATTGCTTCCAAAAAATCCCATTCAACTCTGTCGTAGGCTTTACTCATGTCAAGTTTCAGAGCAAAAAAAACCCCACTTCCCTGTTTTCCTGTGCTTTAAATAATGTAACAACTCAAAAGCCACAAGAATATTATCAGTGATCAAACGACCAGGGACAAAAGCGCTTTGTGATTCACTAATGCAAACAGGGAGAATAGATTTAAGCCTATTGACCAGACATTTAGAAATGATTTTGTAAATCACATTACAAAGGCTGATAGGGCGGAATTGGGTCATATTTTTAGGTTTATCAACTTTGGGTATAAGAACAATATGGGTTTTATTAGCTGAAAGTAAATCTATCCTACCAAGAAAGAAAACTAAACAAAAAACGAGTAATTTCACCACCAACAATATGCCAAAATTTAAGAAAGAAAAAGCAGGCATACCGTCAGGGCCAGGGGCTTTTATGGGGTGCATCTGTTTAAGGGCAGTAAATATCTCCTCGGCAGTGAACTCTGTTAGAAGGTGTTCATTCATCTCCGCTGTAATCGAAGGATTGACAGCTTCAAGGATTTCATCAAATTGCAAAAAGCCACTCGAGTCAAAGAGTTTCTTAAAATAATTAGAAGTAATTTCCTGGATATCAGCTAAATCATTCGTCCATTGTCCATCATCTCCTTCTAACCCTTCGATCGAATTCTTTTTCCTCCGCTTAGAGGCTTGAGCATGGAAAAAAGAAGTATTTCGATCTCCATCACTCAACCAATTAACTCTAGACCGCTGCATCCAATACGTTTCTTCTTCTTCCAACAACCTGTTCAACTCTTCTCGAAGATCTGCTTCTTTTTTTCGCATATTACCCCATCGATCAGTTTCGGCAACAACCTTTAAAGCTTGTGTAATTTCATCAATCCGTTCTTTCACAACTGAAAATTTCTTGGCATAAACTCCTCGTAAAGAATCACGTAAGTGACCAATACGAGCCAATAGCTCCATGCCATTTGAAAATTCCCAATTATCCACAATCAACTGTTCACAATCTACCTCTTTGCACCAACTCGTCTCAAAATAACTCCGTTTACATTCCTTTGGTTTTCTTTTCCTACGATGTCTTCTCACTTCAGTTTTAAGTAATATTGGAGAATGGTCAGAGACGCTTGTTATCAGATGAGACACACAAGCTGTAGGAAAGCGAGAAAGCCAATCCATAGATGCAACTCCACGATCTAACCTCTTTTTAACTAATTTACCAGTACGGGTTACACCGTTCCAAGTAAAAATATGACCATGAAAACCAACATCCTGCAACTCACAGTCTTGCAAAGCATCTCTGAAATCAACCAATTGCCTTTCAGGTCTAAGTCGACCTCCATCTTTCTCTTCCTGCCAAAGTATCTCATTAAAATCCCCGAAACAAAACCATGTTTTCTCTGCATGAGTAGCTAATTGCCTTAACAAGTTCCAAGATTGAGGTCATAGACTAGTATTAGCATCACCATAGAACCCAGTAAGGCGCCAATGAGGAAGTCCATTGCGCTCATTCACCAACATATCAATATGGTGTTGAGAAAAACTAAGCAATTTCAAATCCACCGAGTCATCCCACATCATTGCCAACCCCCCACTCCGTCCAATAGCACCAACTCCAAAACAAGCTATGAAACCACATCTACGCCTAATACTATCTAACTTATGCTCGGGTAACTTTGTTTCCATCAAGAAAAGAACATTCGGTCGCTCCTTTCTAATAAGCGCCCGAAGAGCTCTAACTGCTCGTGGGTTCCCAAGCCCACGGCAGTTCCAAGAAACACCTATCATGGCTCTCGGCGGGGCTGAATGTCATCCTCCGCCACAACATCTGTATTATCAAGCTTTTGAGAAACTCCAGATTTTGAAGCACCTGTGAACTGATTCTCAACTCTCGTTAACCCATCGCCTATAGCCAAACTAATTTTCTCATTAAGTAAACTCGCATCCCTTACTCCACTAGTTATTCTTGCACGCCTCTTCCAAGAACTTTTAGCTTTCTTGTTACTCTTATTCCCACCTCCCATTGATACTCCATTATTTTTCGAGTTACCAGTTTCACCTCCTTCATCAACTTCAGCAACACTGTTGTTACCGAATGAACTAATAGAATCCTCATCAATTAAAGCTAATTTTTGTTTTGAACGAGCAGGCCCATTAATCTCCATATCAGTATCCCTTTTACTCTTTTTTGGGCCAGCCCTATTGACATCTCTTAAAATCAAGCCCACATTTTCCTTATTTTGTTTTTCTTTTAACGTTCCCTTGCCCTAGACTCCTTTCCATGTACAAACACCTTTTTTTTGCACTTACCAGAATTATCTCCATCAATTTTTCCTAATTCCCTGCTTTGAACTGTCAACAAATCCTTCTCCTCTCCCGCCAAATCCCGTACAATAAGGCTGAATTCAATCGCCCCATTTCTTTCTCAATATCTTCTTCTAGTTGACTTGCCACACAGTTTCCTTGATTCACGCCATGATTCCTACAATCAATAGCTAGCCTTTCCCTGCTTTCATCGCTTCCAACTTGAGATGCCGCCGGCGATAAGTTGCCATTGTTTTCACCACGCCCTTCCGGGAACAACATCTTTTGGCAGCTAGGTTTTTTTATCAAAATTGATCGCATAATCTCGCTTGATCAGAGATGATTCTGAAGTACGAGGAACACGTGAGCCCGTCCCTGTTAGCTTCGCCTTCAAAGGTGAAGCTCTAAGCCACTCACCATAATGCACCGTCCGTTCGATATTTCCCCCTTCTCCATCCTCACAGTCGACACCGCAATGACCAATTAAACCACAATAACAACAAAAAACCGGTAGCCTCTCATAGGCCAACCGTCCCCTTGTCCCCTCGGATGGTTTCCCAAGCAAAATTGTTCTTCGGAGTGGTTTGGTCACATCAATCTCAACTCTTACTCTGAGGAATCGAGACCAACCTTCCATGTCTAGAGAGGGGTCAACAGCAATCAACTTCCCCATCTTCTTGCCAAGCTTTTCCGCCACCTCCAGATTCCGCTTCCCCAATGGCAATTCATAGATCCGAATCCAAAACGGCGCCCTAGTGAAGTTGTAATCTTCCGGACACAGATTACCATCATAGTTTGCAAACAACAAAAGATGCTTATCAAAAGTCCATGGGGAACCCTCCAAGACACGATCCATATCAGCCTCCGATGCAAACTTAAACAAAAATAGATTTTCCTCCAAAGCAATAATTGAAAATTCCTTGACTAATTTCCAAACCTGTTTCAGAGTATTAATCATTGCTTGCTTATTGAAAGATCTCTCCGTAAGGAGTCTTCCCACCATCCAAAACTTCTCCACAGCATCCTTCTCCGGTGGAGCCTCATCATCACTAACATAATCCTCTTCTTCTTCCGTTAATGAAAGATTCTGCCACTACCTCCGTAACTCATCTGCCATCCCTCTAACCTAGATGAACGTCAAACTTAACTGAAACCAGAAAACCAGAAACTCTTGACTCGAGACTAACTAAACGCACTAGAGAAACCCACTCGAACCTGCCGCAGCAAGACTCAGAACACCCTCACAAAGAAAACGCTCTGGAGGGACTTCTACTTGCCTTTTTTTGTTCCAATTCCAATATGTTGCCCGCCCGACAAAGGTTGATATGTCATATGTAGAGGTAACATTTAGGGATAATATATAGCCGAACACGAACAACATGAATAATTAATCATGTTATGATTTAAAAAACATACACGAGAACTTTTTATTAGTCGTGTACACAACACGACTAACACAATTTTATAAGCATCGGTGTAACTTAAACACGGTACAACACGATTTAAACGTTTACACACGATTACATGATTAATTTAAACATGTCAAACATAGTAGTTAAAAATTATTAAAATATTCCTGAAAATTTATAAAATTACATCATAGCTATTATTTTTTTAATTATTTTTAGAAGGTCAAATTGATATTATAATAATCACATATACGTATATTAAACGTGTTATCCTGTTAATAGTTAAACGTGTTGACACGCCAACACTAGTTGTGTTTTAATCATGTTAGTTGTGTTTGACACGATTAAGACACGAAACACGATTAAAAGACAAAACATGTTAAGAGAAAACACAGATACGGTTAACTCCGTATCGTACAAACGTGTTGTGTCAAAAATTGTCAGGCCTACCCTTGATGTCGCCATGTGTCGTATGTGTTTTAATTTTCTTGTTATAGGTTGTATCTACTAATATGGAGTGATGTAAAGGAGAAGAGGAGCACTTGAATTAAAAATAGCTGAAAAACTCATTTTGTAGCTTTTTTATTAGCCAAAAAATATTACTCCGTTAAAAATAGTGCATCAAACAAGATCAGCAGCAAAAGTTAAAAGATTACTTAAAACTCGATAAACAATTTAATCCGTTCGAACACTCCAAAACAACCATTAATATATCATATCAAACTATCAACAAATTCTAACGGCTAATTGCTTAAATAAGGGCCTAACGTTATTGAAAATACTCAAATAAGGACCCGATCTTCTAATTTGGTCAAATAAAGGCCTAACGTTATCGAAAATGCTCAAATAAGGGCCTGGAATAAAAAATTCTCACGCATCATCCAAACTGACGTCTGGCCCTTATTTGAGCATTTTCGATAATGTTAGGCCCTTATTTGGCCAAATTAAAAGATCAGACATTTATTTGAGCATTTTGGCGAACGTTAGGCCCTTATTTGAACAACTAACAGCTACCTATCATAAAAAAACTTGGAAACAAAACAAAGAACACATAATTCAACACACCGCAGCTGAAGAAAAGCCAACAAGCTAAAATTGGTGCTTATCCCCAGTACCACTCTACTTACTTTATTCAAGGGTATATGAAGGAATTTCTCTCTTACTAATTCAACCGAGAGTCCTTGCCTAAGCATCGAGAGATCTTCCTAAACATATGCAAATGTATAGATTAATTTCCACAATAATTTTAAAAATAATAACTGAATGATTATATTTAAATCGAACTAGATATGAAGTTTACCATTTTAAATGGTGGAATAGCATTACATGATGCTAATGCCACTATATATAAAATGCAGAACAATCCACATGCATGCCTACAAATATAGTATAAACAAAAAATTAAAACAGAAACACTTTATGTTAGCATCATATCAAAATCCTTTACTTATTTACATATTAATCTACATATGTTGATATAATCAAAACTTACCAATTTGTGCTTTGGTTTATTTTATTATACTTAATATCAAGCATAATATCACCCTTTGTAGACACCCATTTTTAACTGGTATCCTCTGAATTAAGTTGATTTGTTTCTTGATTTGCGATTAGGGAGCATTTAGGCAAGATTTTTATTTAAACTAATTTATAACTATTACTTTTTTTTGTATTCAATTCGATGCTTTGTGTATTAAGCCAAGAATGACGACTCTGATACTAAAAGTAAATTTTGTAATTCTATTTATTTCCCTTGTTGAAAACACATATTGTTAATAGACTCAAGTTTACGCTAACGATTTTTTTCATATACTTAATATCATATAAATATATATAGTTGCATAATGATTTATACATTATATGGCCCCTTAGGATGGAATTATTGGTTCCGTCCCTAAATAATACAATATTTTGGGAATAAAATAAAGATGTGTATGGCCAATTGTAAGCCATAGATCTCCCCTTATGAGATCAGTGGACCTCTTCCTCTCCCAATCTTCATATATTTTCTTGGTGACCACGATAAGTGTCCCGCTCCTTTTTCAAACTCCACTGTAGCAGCCGCCGACCCCAATTTTAATTTTTTCAGGTTGTTCAGCCTGCCTTAATGGCTCCATTTTTTCCCTTCTTTCCTTTAATTTAAGTGATCTCCTCTCCCAAAGCATCTTATCAAATGCCCTGCATTTTTTAAATTTAAGAATTTGATTATTAATAATACTGAATTATTTTCTTGAATATTAAGAATTTTTATTTAAGATAATTTATAGTGATTACTTCTTTTTCTTATTAAATACGATACTTCATTTATCATGCCAAGAATGACGACTCCAATATTAAAAGTAAATTATCTCGTTGAAAACACACATTATTAATCAACTCATGATTACACACATAGTTATTATATTGATTTCCAGTATAGCAAACATTTTATGTGAATTTTATGCTAACAAATTTTTTCATATATTTAATCTTAGTAATAATTTTGATAAATATATTGTAGAATTTATTTTATTAAACTTAATATCAAGCATAATATAAATATTTGTAGACACTCATTTTTAACTGGTATTCTGTAAATTAAGTTAAGGGACATTTAGGTTAATTCCTAATTTTTAAGATTTTTGGTAATTAGATTTTTTTTTGTAAAAACATATTATTTATATTTGAATAAAATATACTATTTTGTTACAAGTTACAATAGGTAATATCTCAATGGTATATTTTATTTAAACTACGTCTATAACAATTTCAACAATATTGCTATTATAATTGTATTTTTGGTTACCTCTAACAACTTTTGTCTCCACGGGGACCTCAAATCCATTCAATGTCTCCAACTTGATACATCGATGTTGATATCTACAACTTTTACCAGCAAGTCGTCAATCATTATGATGTTTCCAATGCCAAAAAAGTCGTCCCGCAAAACGTATCGCATATTTTCAATATAATGCTGCTAGGAGGTTCAGTACGAGTAACTAAATACCAGAACCAACGTAACAATTGTAATAAGGACCCCCAGTGTAAAATAAATTGATATATAAAGCAAACCAAGCTCAGTTAGAATTCCCAATCCAACATTCAGTAAGAAGTTAACCAGCTTGTTTGTGGAGTCTTGGCTTGGTTTGCATGGAAGAATCAAGTCCTTGACGACTAAGACGAGAGTCATCTTCACGAGAAACCCCAATGCTTTGGTCATTTTCTCTGGGAATGGTTTAGCATTCCCCTTCTCCTTCTTCTTCTCAACCTGCTACTTATTCTCCTCATCAAGATCAAATTTGGCGATGACGAACCAATAAAACCATAACGTTGATGTGATCCTAATGCAATTAGGTTGTATTTTGTGTGTTGAAATGTTGTCTCTGCCACTTCAAGCCTACTGATTTTCTCTGTTATGAAAATATCAAAATATAAAATTGCTATTATGAAAATGAGTTCAATATTCGAGTTTCGTCATCATTATAACTTTAATACACAATAAAAAAATAATAACTACCCTATCTAGAGAATAGTCATAATGATGAGAAAAGTAAAAGTTTTAAAAATCTTTTGCCCTATCTATCTCAAAGGAAAAGAAAATGATTGACTCTTTGAATTATTTGGCAAACATGTACGAGAAGGCTCCCAATTATATTTTTGTTTCTCCACATCAGGTACACTTATAAACCAGCAAATCCCCGAAACAGTTTTTAGTCATTTTTGGTACCTTGATTGAGAAGGTTGATCGCAGCATTGTGTCAGCCTTAGTACTTTGATGATTGACAGTTTCGTTTCAATATTAAATTTTTCCCGAAATGTTATATTTCAATTTATTGAGAAACAATTTGATGTGGACAATAAAAGAATTTGGCAAGTTTTATATCACACGTATATATATGTCGCTGACCATTTCAATGAAGGTAAAATCAAATAATTAGCTTCGAGACAATTGTGAATATGATGTAAAGAATTCTAATTTAAGAAATAAAAAAATTCTTTAATTCCACGCCCACAATTGACAATGAAGTGGTTGTTCCTTAGATGTTCAAGTTGGTCATCTTCATCTTTTTGAATCTTTGCCATTGCTCTGATACTATGTTAAGAATCCAAACCCACTAATTGCATATAAGCAGTAAAAACATAAAAATAAGCATATATTGTAATGGAACTATATAATTTTTTTCATTTTAAAATAGTTATCTGATTTCTTTGTTAACTTCCTTTCGCTTGTACCCAGAAAAAAGAAAAAAAAAATCCTTTCTCAACCTCTTTGCTACATTTTGTACATTAATAGATTTTCAATTTTTTTTCATGAAAAATGAATTTGAAATTTTCACCATATCTCGAATTATTGATACTTCCTTTCGTCCTTTTTGTACTTTCTTCTATTAGTTTTCATTTTTAAATTGAGTAACGTGATCGTTTACTTCAAAAATATCATAAAAAGTTCAATCCTGAAAATACACCAGAGATGCAAGCAACGAAAGATTTAAAGTTTCTTCAGAATATAGATATATTTCATAGCATATACATTTATAGTTTTGTTTTATACTTTCGTAATTGACTTCTTGTACCTCTAGAGCGGAAAGAGAGCAAATTGTATTTAATTTATACA